AAAAAAACCACCAGAAAACTGGAAGTGGCGCTGTAGCTCAAGTGGTAGAGCGCTGGCCTTGAGCTGAAGAGCTGAGGGACAGCGCCCAAGCCCATAGTTCAAGCCCCACGACCGACCAAAAACAAAAAAACAAAACAAATAAAAGTGAAAAGGGGTCAGGAGGGGTTGGATATAACTCAGTGATAGTGTTTGCCCCATCACAAAAGAAATAAACAAGAATAAACAAACATAATTAATAAATAAACATAATTAGAACAGAGAAAAGGTTTTGGAAGCTTACCTAGCATTTTGCTCACATAAGGCTCAATGTCCACATCCTGCAGATGTTGGTATGTGTGTGCATGATAGAGACGGAGTGTGGAGTCCAAACGAATGGAGACCCACACGCCATCACCTACCCATGCAAGCTGCCGCACTTGGCTCTCCTTCCTCGGGTGTGCATCAAATGATTTCTAGGAGAGACGTCCAATCACAAAATTACTTTTGTTTCCCAGGAAGTCAAGTTTTAATATAGCCAGACATGGTGGCTGTGTAAGCCAAGTATAGGATTCGTATACAGTACACTTGTATTGTATTCCTATCTACTCAGGAAACTGAGATTGGGAGGACTGAAGTTGACGTACACCTCAGATAAAAAATTTGTAAGAACCTCCCATAGCAACAGGAGAAGCAAAGATGGGCACGGCGGAACATGCCTGTTATCTCAGCTACAGGGGGAAGCATAACTGTTAGGAGGGTTGCAGTCTAGGAGAAGCTGGGAAAAAAAGTGAGGTCCTATTTCTAAAATTAAGCAGCTGGCACCAGTGGCTCATCTGAAATCCTAACTATTTGAGAAAGGCTGAGATCAAGAAGACTGAGTTTGGAGGAAAACCCAGGCATATCTGCAAGACCCCTTCTAACTCAATAGCTGGGGGCAGCGACACATGCCTGTCATCCTAGCTACGTCAGAGGGGGAGATCAGAAGGATCACAGTTCCAGGCCAGCCAGGAAAAATAATGTTCACGAGATTCCATCTCAACAGAAGCTGGGTATGTTGTGTCTGTCATCCCAGCTATAATGGGTGGCATAAAATTGGCAGATAAAGGTCCAGGTATAGAGTTGGACAAAAACCAGAACAAAACACAACAAAAAACGGAGACCCTATCTCAAAATAACTAAAGCAAAAAAGGACTGGGTATGTGCCTATCAAGTATCTACCTAGCAAGCGCAAAGCCCTGAATTCAAATGCAGTAAAGCAAAAACAAACAATATTTCTGAATATAGAGTTTATTAAAGAAGCCTAAATATTGTTTTCTTAATATGACTGTTCTTCTAAACATAGTTTCATTCTTTCTAGGCTGCTTTTGCATCAGAAGATGCAAAATTTATTTCTTTTGAAACAAATCCTTATATAAATAAGAACAAGGAACCAATGAATAGCACATCAATATTATACCGCGGTGTTCAATAGTTATGAACTCAGGATTTTGTGTTGGTGCAAAGCAATATACAAAGTAAGACCTGGGACTGGGAATGTGGCTTAGTGGTAGAGTGCTTGTCTAGCATGCATGAAGCCCTAGGTTCCATTCCTAGTACCACATAAACACAAAAAGCCAGAAGTGGCATTGTTGCTCAAGTAGTAAAGTGCTAGCTAGTCTTGAGCAAAAGAAGCTCAGGGACAGTGCCCAGACCCTGAGTTCAAGCCCCAGGACTTGCACACACACTCAAAAAAAGACCTAATTTATAATTAAACAGAAAGGAATCCACATTGTTATTTAAAGAATAAGTATGAAAATAAGCACTAAATGGTTAACCACCTCAGGGTTTTTAAGGAAAGGAATGGGATTTGGGAAAGGAGAGAAGTAGAAATTTAACCTAGGTCTTTCTTACTAGAAGTTTTTGTTTTTTTAAGCAATTATGATGAATTTGTGTAGGATGGGTATGTGCCAATTTGAGACTCTTCCTGTCAACCAATCCTTACATATTAAACATACTAAGAACCATGTAGCTAAATAAAATGTAAGTATGTATACATATGTAGACACATGTAAACTTGCACATGTGACTACTATGTTCTTAAGGAAAAAGCAAACAAAGAAAACAATTACTACCCTCAGAGTTAAATGTGAAAAAGAGGTGAAGTAACAGAAAGTTAATACATCCAAAAATATCACTGAGGTGCCCCAAAACAATTTCTAAAGCTGAAAATGATAGTTTTATGGTCTTAGGGTGATATATATTCAATAAACACAAAGTATAGACAAACTTGCCTCTATTTTCATAGCCTTTGGCTGAACCACATAGATTTTGTTCCTGTAGCCACACCAGACTTTGTCGTGTACCACAGTCATGCATCGGATGGAATGGTGAGGCCGTCCAAGGTCTAACAGGTGATAGTTTGACAAATCCCACTGTCCATCTTTAAAATAAGAAAGATTATAGTTAACCATATCACTTTCTATTCATGACTCAAAGTGTCATATATGAAGTACACCTTATACCTGCATGAACTGCACAAAAGAGGATCTTAAAGGTTATCTGATCCAACCTACCATCGACTATTCGGACCCTTTTTTCTGTCCTAGACTGGAACTCAAACTCAGTATCTGCCGCTTTTGCTCACTGGCTTGTATTCTACCGCCAGAGCTACACTTTGAACCTCAGTTATTTCTTTTTTGTCTGCTGACCCTTTTTACAATACAGCATATAACAATATTTTAGAATTAGAATTTACTTAACGCTGGGGTTATAGGTCAGAAGTGCTTGCCTAGCAAGGCTCTGAGTTCAATCCTTAGCAACACACACACACACACACACACACACACACACACACACACACAAATGGACTTAAGGGTTAGCATTTTGATGGATTTTGGGTAGAAGTTGAGGGTGACTCATTGCTAATTTTTTTTTTTTTTTGGTCCGGTAGTGGGGCCTGAACTCTGGGCCTGGGCGCTGTCCCTCAGCTCTTCAGCTCAAAGCTAGCGCTCTACCACTTGAGCCACAGCGCCACTTCGGCTCTTTTCATTTTGCTTATGTGGTGCTGAGGAATCGAACCCAGGGCCTCATGCATGCAAGGCAAGCACTCTACCACTGAGCCACCTTCCCAGCCCCTCATTGCGAATATTTTAGGAGTTGTACATAGTTTGAACATCTCTTATCTGTAAACTATAAAGCTGAAATCTGAAATGCTACCAAATCCAAGATGACACTTGCATGCAACCATCTATTAGTCTATAATTTTGCCCAATGCAACTTTGTTACAACTCCATTGTCTTTTCCTTTTAAAACTTAGCATCTTTGGCAAGAGTTTTATATTTACCATGATTACAGACCCTGCATCCTAATTCTACTTTGTTGGTACCCACTGCATATTATGTCTGGCTAGTAATTAGAGTAGGACCATCATCATCTTGAACTGCATAATTCATAATTTCTTTTTCTTTTTTTTGCCAGTCCTTAGGCTTGAACTCAAGGTTAGTGCTCTACCACTTGAGCCACAGAGCCACTTCCAGCCTTTTCTGAATAGTTTATTGGAGATAAGAGTCTCATGGATTTTCCTGCGTGGGCTGGCTTTGTACCACAATCCTCAGATCTCAGCCTCCTGAGTAGCTAGGATTACAGGCAAGAGCCACTATTGCCCACTTGAACATTTTATTTCTGTGAGTCTTCTACTTCATACTAGAATTTACAATCAACCTGTAGATAATTTTCCTCAGAAATATTTTGTTCCTCAGAACCCAAAAGCAAAACTTCATATTCAACTTTAAATTTTATCTTATACTGTTAATGTAATTTTTGATTGAGTTTATAAAATCACTAATTAGGGCTGGGAAGGTGGCTCAGTGACAGAGCGCTTGCCTTGCATGCATGAGGCCCTGGGTTCGATTCCTCAGCACCACATAAGCAAAAAGAAAAAAGCCGGAAATGGCGCTGTGGCTCAAGTGGTAGAGTGCTAGCCTTGAGCTGAAGAGCTGAGGGACAGCGCCCAGGCCCAGAGTTCAGGCCCCACGACCAGACCCCCCCCCAAAAAAATAAAATCACTAATTCTTTCTTTTTTTTTTTTTTAGGCCCTTTCATTACTAGTTGACATACCCGGAATAGGTGACTAAAGTGCTTTGTTCCTGAGTTTCCCCATCTATAAAATGAGGATAATAACAGAACTTTCCTCATAGATTGTGAACACTAAACACAGAAAAGACTTTACAATGTAAAGCAGAGCCCACTCTCTTTGACAATATAACATCATTAACCAGTAATCTTTATATATTTATCAATTCCTAAGTGTCATCTGTCTGATTTTTTTTTGGGGGGGTCGGTCATGGGGCTTGAACTCTGGACCTGGGTGCTGTCTCTGAGCTCTTCAGCTCAAGGAAAGCTCTCTACCACTTGAGCCACAGTGCTACTTCCGGGTTTTCTGGTGGTTTATTGGCGATAAGAGTCTCAAAGACTTTCCTG